TACAAAAGATCAAATTAGGACTAGGCTCGCTAAGGAGAAAGTCATCTTTGACAACACATATTTGAAAGCAAAGTTGTTGCAGCTTGTGAGGAAAACAAATAAGTCAAAGGTGTATCACACCGACTAAATCATTAATGAGTACGGCAACACTTCTCTGCGACTTCGAGCATATCCTTCAGACTCAACACGATAGAGCTTGTTTGGACTGAAGTCAAAAGACAAGTTGCCGAAAACAACAGTACATTTGAAATGTGCGATGCTGAAGTTCTGACACGTAAGTCCTTCTCAACAATAGGCAATTATTTCTGGAAAGTGTACTGATCATGTCTCCGAGAGGAAGACGAGTACAGGCACCGAGATGAATTACAATTTGTTTAACCAGTAACAATTTTCAACCTTTTGGGATCGTCAGATTCGGAATGAATAAAACCATTTTTTGATGAGTGGTTGAAAGCATCAACCTTTTAGGTACATCTACAATTGCACCGGCGCATCTTTATATTCAAATGTGTCAACCATAATACAATATGCTGTGCAGTTTAGATACACCCTGGGGTCTAATCGTGGCCGAAGGAGAATACTAATACTCTTCCATATTGAGACATGTTTACAGCTGAACAAGGCAGACAAATTGGCTGGATCACTTAATAGTGAATTTATAAATGACAAGGCAGATGTGGTCAAGGCTCTTCGGGACCAAGTAAGGTAGTCAGAAGGTAAAATAGATTATCATGCCCCGGAGAGAATGAGACACCTTGGTGTGACCAGAGGGTCTGGCCGGCACACTACACTCAAAGGAATGGCAAGATGGACATATAATCAGACTGCGACCGGTACCATTAGTATTGGAACTCTGCGCTTGCTGCTGAAGATGGAGACGAAGCACATATTGGAATGCCTTAAGTGCTGGGATGTCTTTCCTAACTCAGCTCAACTTATTTGGCAACAAATAAATGTACTTCACCTATCAATGTATTATAAAGACACGCATCTGAAATTAAATGGAATCGGAAATTCAGATCACTGCAGAATCTAAAAGTTCATTCTACTTATTTACATTGATTCGAAAAGATTAAAGAAATTGGCGGATACTCCGCATCCTAAGCGTCTATGGACTAAAGAATACCACTGTTTTTGCGTCATGGATATTAAAAGGCTGCATGCAAAAATGATTGCGATCTATCAGGCAGCTTTCGAGAAAATGGCTTGCAAGTGTGTTTATCAATTGTTGAACGAACTAGTGAATAGGTATAAAGACGCAGACGACTAGAGCATGAAAGAAGTACAGACACAGATAAAATGATCTAAAGAAGAAGAAGAAGAAGAAGAAAGAAGAAGAAGAAGAAGAAGAAGAAGAAGAAGAAGAAGAAGAAGAAGAAGAAGAAGAAGAAGAAGAAGAAGAAGAAGAAGAAGAAGAAAGAAGAAGAAGAAGAAGAAGAAGAAAAAGAAGAAGAAGAGGAAGAAGAAGAAGAAGAAGAAGAAGAAGAAAAGAAGAAAGAAGAAGAAGAAGAAGAAGAAGAAGAAGAAGAAGAAGAAGAAGAAGAAGAAGAAGAAGAAGAAGAGAGAAGAAGAAGAAGAAGAAGAAGAAGAAGAAGAAAAAAGAAGAAGAAGAAGAAGAAGAAGAAGAAGAAGAAGAAGAAGAAGAAGAAGAAGAAGAAGAAAAAAGAAGAAGAAGAAGAAGAAGAAGAAGAAGAAGAAGAAGAAGAAGAAGAAGAAGAAGAAGAAGAAGAAGAAGAAGAAGAAGAAGAAGAAGAAGAAGAAGAGGAGGAGGAGGAGGAGGAGAAAGAAGAAGAAGCAGCAGAAGAAGAAGCAGAAAGAGGAGGAATAGAAAAAAAGAAGTTGGAGGAAAGAAGGTTGACAAGCAAAAAATTAAAAGTGGTATTGCCTTGTGCAATTACTCTCTTTACATTCAGTTTGGCTCCATTCGCTTGCAGACTTCTCCCTCGTGCACTGACAGTCAACTGGCAGGTGAAAGATGGACAAAATTGAACGACACGATGCGTTTGTCAATATTTTTTGTTTATTCACTCGCTGATTCTTTGGCCAGTACATAGTGAGACATAACAGACTAGGTTTATGATTCATCAAATAAAGTCAATGTTACCTTCTGACAAAAACGCAGATGTCCATTTTCACAACGGCAGCTGAAAATGTTCCTTGACATGCAAACTCAAACAAGTTTAGCGCTGACTGTGTCAGCTCTTAGCTGAATGCCAGGTTGGCCATTGGAATCTAACAAATACATGGGATGCATGCTTTCGTTTATAACTTGATACAAACACTTTCTCCACTTCACATGCGTACAGTTTCTTGACCCAAACGAGACTGCCTACTAAATCTTTCTAGGGCATTAGGTAAACTTCTGTTGCTCACATTCGGACTACCCAATTCGTGGTTTTCATGTTAGCCATTTCGCATGGGTTTCGCAATCTTCATTTGGCTAAAATTTTCTCCGTGCATCCCGATTCGTACTCGGTAAATTCAAATATCTAATTCATATTCATTACCTTATGTCATTCCTATTGTAACATCATTTTTCAGGGAGAAAATGGTTCACTGCACCTTGTTATTTTTTGAAGATTGTATTGCGAACTGATAGTGAGCGGAGTTTCGAATCCGTTGTCATTCCTACTTATGTTATTTCCTCCGCTACTATAGATGGCCTCATGTATGTTCTTGATGTGGGCCGAGTGGGGATCTTTACTGCAGCGCCAGGGAACCTTTGTCCGGCCAAGATCCTGGTACTGGACACCAGAAATGGCGGTAGAGTGGTCAGCTCGCATGAATTCCCTGATTCTGTTGTCTCCAGGAGTGAGAACTTTCTCAACGACATCGTCCTTGACCTGGTCAACCCTGATCACGTGACGGGAGTTAAATACGCATACATGTCTGACATGAACAGTAAGCACTCCTTCTATGAATTAATGCATTATGACTAGTTATATTTCTTCCTATAATCTATGCCCTGTGGCGTTACCTGTCATGTCTTTATCAACAACCTTCTGTCTCGTGTGCTTTCACTCAGTTCTGATACAGATGATCTTCCATGCTAGGATGCTAAACTGTCAAGCATCTTCTTTCTCTATGTCTTGAACTGCCTCCTTTTCCCTGCAACTTTCCCTCTATCACGATGTACTCCGAATGTCTTCTTCTAGTGACATGATGAAACTGCCATAAAAGAAACGCTCTTGCCACCTGACTTGTAAGTCCTGGGCTGAAATCTGCACTGGAGATGATTTTATATTTCTTTTAACATGACTTGGTGCTCATGTCCACAATTCTGAAATAGGCACAAGAAAGTATCTTGAGAAGTAAAGGCGGCCGGAATTAGAATCACCACATCACATTTTGAATTTTGATTGGTCGGTAACAAAAATGGGTCTAAACGTGAATGTCCTATGCTCCAATGGTGAGAGAAAGGTATTTTTGGTAATAGTTTAAATATATATATAAATGTCATATTCGTATTCTTGTTATAGTCCTCGATGTGTGTAGTTGGTAGTCATGTCTATCCACAACCTTCTGTCTCGTGTGCTGTCAGTCAGTTACGACACATTAATTACATACCATAAGGTCAAACTCCCCAGCATCTTCTCTCTCTCTCTCTCTCTCTTTCTCTCTATCTATCTATCTATCTATCTATCTATCTATCTATCTATCTATCTATCTATCTATCTATCTATCTATCTATCTATCTATCTATCTATCTATCTATCTATCTATCTATCTATCTATCTATCTATCTATCTATCTATCTATCTATCTATCTATCTATCTATCTATCTATCTATCTATCTATCTATCTATCTATCTATCTATCTATCTATCTATCTATCTATCTATCTATCTATCTATCTATCTCTCTATCTCTCTATGTCTCTATATCTCTCTATCTCTCTCTCTATCTCTCTCTATCTCTCTCTATCTCTCTCTATCTCTCTCTATTTCTTTCTCTATCTCTCTCTATCTCTCTCTCTATCTCTCTCTCTTTCTATCTCTCTATTTCTCTCTATCTCTCTCTATCTATCTCTATCTATCTCTATCTTTCTCTCTATTTCTCTCTATTTCTCTCTCTATCTCTCTCTATCTCTCTATCTCTTTATCTCTTTATCACTCTCTCTCTCTATCTCTCTCTCTATTTCTCTCTTTTTCTCTATATTTCTCTATATTTCTCTCTCGTTCTCTCTATCTCTCTCTATCTCTCTCTCTCTCTCTCTCTCTCTCTCTCTCTCTCTCTCTCTCTCTCTCTCTCTCTCTCTCTCTCTCTATCTCTGCGTCTTTTCCCTTCTAATGTTGCCACTGTCACGATGTAATCCGGGTTTCTTCTCATGTCATGACCAAATAATGTAGATTTTCTTCTTCTGGTGTGGGCAATCAGTTCTCTTCGTAAGGATTTTATTTCTATTTTTTTCAAGACATCTCCACTGCGTACGTGACCTAAACCATCAACCACACATTCTTCAAGTGTCGGCTCGGGAAGCAGAGAGAATTATGCTGACATCATCATTCTCGTCATCGTCGTCAAGCCATTATATCTCAATTAATCTGTTCCGTTATCTAAGTGTCTATATATATATATATATATATATATATATATATATATATATATATATATATATATATCACACAGCAGCCATGCCACCTCAAGGCAAGGGCTTCCTGGGCACTTGCCCAAGGCCCCACGAATATAAGTGCCCAATGCTTATTCATACATACGTGTATCCACCCTTTACATCCCATTTATGTGAGACCATTATTAAGGCTGGGCTATATTGCGGCCCCTGGCAAAAGCCAAGGTAACTAAAAATTGCATCCCACAAAGGGATGAATAGTGTATCATAAGTCAAGACGGCTCTGTATAGTATGCATATAACGTGTGTTATTTCTCCGTATGATCTTACCATACTTTTTGGTTTCTTTTTGGTAAGGAAGTATGTGTGAAATCAGTTAGTCCAGATGTTTTTGTGAAATAAAATTAAAGGTGTCATTTGTGTGTACAGTGCAGCAAATTGTTGTCTACGACTTCACGACAAATACATCTTGGAGCTTCAAGGACGCTCGATCAATGGGCTTCGACAATGATAGGTAAGATTTGTGAACATGATTCTAGCTTTGTACAAGATTTTGCACAAGTCTTTTCATAACTCCCCAAAATAAAATGCGATGCTATAAAAGTCTCCACACGATATTCCAACAGGAAATACAACTGTGTAAACGTCTCCATGCAGTATTTCCAGATGCTTTCCAACTCTATGAGTCTCTCCTTACAAACCTCAGTTCTGTATAAACAAGCGATTTATGCTTTCAGAACTCAAGGTATTGCATCACTCACCCATACTGGGCTACAAGTTACTTCGAAATCGTTGTGTGTTGTCCGAATACAATTGTGCTATATGGCTACACTGTTGAACTTGGTTTCGGGATTTCGTAACTGTTTGATTCTCGTCATTTAGATGTTAATCCCACAGACTGCAATCGTGGAGGGAAAGAACTAAACGTAAATAATGAAAACTCTAGCCCCTATATCTCAGTGCAAGTGAGTTCTGTCACTGATACCAGGTTTTAGTCCAGTGTCGTGGTTACCTGCTTTTGTCTTGTGATTCTCGGGTTCGGTTTATAAATTTATTTGTTCTTTTGCGGGTTTTAGCTAAACCATTTATGCATCTCTGTCTTGGTCTTCCCCTCGCTTTCTTCCCAGATGTTTTCCTGTTAAAAAAATATCTTATATGAAGTTTGGTTTGGCCGCATTCTAACTAGATGGCCGAACCATTTCATTCTATGTCTGTCATCTCAGTGTCACCACTATGGTATCTTTTTAATTTTTTTAAATTTTTTTTAAAAAGTCAGGTGACAATTAATGGAGAACAGTACAACCTATCGCTTGCTCTCAACGGAATAGCCATCTCCCCGACCTTCAACTATGTCTACTACTCGTCCGTCGGCTCCAAGAAGTTATGGCAGATCCCCACTTGGGTTCTACGGAACAAGAACTCGAACTTCTCCAGATACGTCCGCCTTGTAGGCAACAAGAAGTCCAACTCTGACGCTTTGATTTTTGGCCACAGGGGTTTGTACTACGCGGCTCTGGAGCATGATGCCGTCTACAGGTACAACTGTTTGTTAAACTGTTGGTTGAACTCATTTATATGGGTTTTCTGTTGTGTTTTAAAGTAGCATTTAGTGCATGATCATGTGCTAATATCATCCCGTTAGTTCAGTCCGATAACACTATGTTTTGTTTCCTCGCGCAATCAAATGATTTCATAGCTGTCATACACACACAGGCATACACACATATACATACATATACACACACACATGCACACACATACATATACACACACATGCATGCATACACACATACAAACATACATATATATGTGCAGAAACGCACACATACACAAATTTACACTCTTACACTCTAAATCAAGATACATATGTACCCTTGGATATATACCTTACTTGCTGCCCTTACTTTCTACCCTTACTTGCTACCCTTACTTTCTACTATTACTTGTTACCCTTACTTGCTCCCCTTACATGCTACCCTTACTTTCTACCCTTACTTGCTACCCTTACTTTCTACTATTACTTGTTACCCTTACTTGCTACCCTTATTTTCTGCCCTTACTTTCTACCCTTACTTGCTACCCTTACTTTCTACTATTACTTGTTACCCTTACTTGCTGCCCTTACTTGCTACCCTTACTTGCTGCCCTTACTTGCTACCCTTACTTGCTATCTTTACTTTCTACTATTAGTTGTTACCCTTACCTGTTACCCTTACTTGTTACCTTTACTTGCTAACCTTACTTGCTACCATTACTTGCCTCTGCCTACTACCCTCTCTTACCTGAACTCACTAATCTTATTTATCCTTATTTCTGCCCTCATTTACCTTTACTTATCACAATCACTCACGTTTACATACTACTCGGTGGGCTACTACCTGGTCTCGAGCCTTTGTGTCTGCCTCGAGTACTAGAGGTTGCGGTTTCAATCCCCCCGGTAAGGACTAGGATTTTTTCACGTGGACTTGGTCTTCAAGTAATTCCCCCTGTTCTCTGGTTACTGAGATCGGACGCATTGTTGCTAACGTAAGAAAAAAAAATATTGTGGCGGAAATCGAAAAGATTAACCTAACGGCGCTGCACAGGCAAAATTTTGAGTCAAAAATCTACCCAAAGTATTTCAGAATCCTTGCCGGTGCTACAGAGTTCGTGCACTGCGCTAAAATTCTTCTGACTTCAGAAGTAGAACGGATCACTTATGGGTTACCCCTTGTGCCATGATCTTGATCCGTCGTCTAAACCTAAACCTTTACTTCCATTTATTACCTTTGCTTACTATAATTACTTACCTTTACCCAGCCCTCACATACCTTTAGTCAAGACCACCACTTACATTTACTCAACCCTCTTCACTTACTGCTCTCACTTACCTTTACTCACTACCCTCCTTTACCATTACTAACTATCATCACTTACCGTTACTCACTACTCTCCCTTACCATTACTTACTATCATCACTTACCGTTACTCCCTACTCTCCCTTACCATTACTTACTATCATCACTTACCGTTACTCCCTACCCTCCCTTACCATTACTAACTATCATCACTTATCGTTACTCACTACCCTCCCTTACCATTACTTACTATCATCACTTACCGTTACTCACTACTCTCCCTTACCATTACTTACTATCATCACTTACCGTTCCTCCCTACTCTCCCTTACCATTTCTTACTATCATCACTTACCGTTACTCCCTAATCTCCCTTACCTTTACTTACTAACCTCAGTTAAAATTTTTCATTGATCCCACTTATCTTTACTCACTACCCTTATGTAGCTTTACTAACTGTCCCCACTTAGATCACTCACCTTTCCTCACTATCATCACTTACTTTTACATACTTTTACATATGCCCTCTTTTAATTTTTACTAACTACTTATACTTACCTTAACCTACTACCTTTGTTTACTTTAATCTACTACCCTCACTTACCTTTACCAACTACCTTAGCTTTCCTGTATTTACTACCCTCACTTACCTGTAACTATTACCTTCGCTTACCTTAACTTACTAGCAACACTTTTCTCTACATACGCATTCCATCTTCACTAACTTTACTTACTGCTGTCACTTAGAACCTTTACTTATGACGCTTACTTACTACCTTTACTAAACTTTTGTTACTATACTTACCGCGGATTATGTGGCCCCAAGCTGTAGTTTGTTTGTCCTAAAAAAAAAGTAAATCTTCCCCCCCCCCCCCCCCCCCCCCCCCGCCTCCCACCAAATTTTTCCCTTCTGGCATGAATCTCTATTAAGAAATTATGCGGAACCTAGACACATCGCCAATCCATTTTGTGGAGTAAGTGTTTTATCTGCTAAATCTACAGGTGGGAAATCGAGAAGGATTTGTTGCAACAAAATGCTTTGGAAGGAGAAGTCGTTCTCAGAACAGAAACACCTTTAGCGCAGAACTGGGAGACGATGCAGTGGCCAGACGGATTGTCGTTTGGCAACCCCGACACAGAAAACCTGCACTTTCTCACGGCAAGAGGCCAGTTGGCCCTCTCTGGCAAAATGGATTTTACAGGGAAGCAAGGGCCCAATTTTAGAATTTTCAAATTATTTGTCAATGATACCAGTGCCTACCTACCATCTACTGTACACTACCCTCATATGGGGTTAATTGGTTAAAGTCTTAAACATGTCTTTATAAACAGATTTACTAATTTGGGTTACAGTTAAAGGTCTTTATAAATGGATTCACTCAACTGGGCTATAGTTAAATGTCTTTAGAAATGGATTCACTGAATAGGGATAGAGTTAAATATCTTTATAGATGGACTCATTACTGGATTAAAGTTAAATGTCTTTTTTAATATATTTACTTATTGGGTTATAATTTAATATCTTTATAGATGGATTCACTGAACTGGGATACAGTTAAATGTCATTATAATGGATTCACTGATTGAGTTACAATTAAATTTCTTTATAAATTGATTTACTAAGTTGGGTTACCATTAAATGTCTTTATAAATAGATTCACTCATTGGGCTATAGTTAAATGTTTTTGTAATGGATTCACTAATTGGGTTACAGTTAAATATCTTTAAAAACGAGTTTACCAAAGTTGGTTACAGTTAAACATCTTTATACGTGAATTAACTAAGCTGGGCTTTAGTTAAATGTCTTTTTAATGGATTTACTGACTGGGTTACAGTTAAATGCCTTTACAAATGGATTCATTGATTGGGTTACAGTTAAAAATCATTATAAATGGAGTCACTAAATTGGGTTTATAAAGGGATTCACTCAACTTGGCTACAGTTAAATGTCCTTATAAATGGATTCACTGAACTGGAATATAGGTACATATTTTTATAAATGGATTCACTGAATTGAGTTACACTTAAATGGCTGTTGCAGTTTTACAGACTTGACTTTATCTTCATTTACTTGTCATTATCATGTGCCAAGCCCTTGAGTATATACTATCATGGTTCGTCGTCTCACATTATCACTAGAATTTCCTAGCAATCCTGTTTTTTTTAAATCTTTTTTTTTAACTCTTTGAGTTCCAGTGGGTTAAGCATCAGTCACAGACCCAAGAGTTAGTAAAGAGAGACACAAATTCAGTGCATCATGTGTTAACTGGGCTTCTAGGTAGGAACCTTCGAACATATGATGTGTTAATTGGGACTTAAAGAGTTAATGATTGCACCCTTTGGCCATACTAGCTTGAAATGTATCTCTTGGTCCTTTTCTGATTACCCAATAAATCTGTCTAGTTATCATCCAGTTTTGAAGATTCTATAATACTGAAAATATTGTTAATGCTTGATTACAGATGAAGCGTGCTGCCTCATCAACATTCTCATCCTCATTCAGTGCCTTGCTGAGTGGCGTATGCAATCATGCTTCTGCACGTTAATGTGCTAACATCTCTTTCTATATTGGGACAAAAGGCAGTCAAAAATGTGCTTTTTTCAATGTTTGTTTCTTTTTATAAACTTTCTCAGTTGTAATAACTTGTTCTAGTTGTCCCCTTATCTTAATTAGAGGCCTCATTCTGAAGTATGTGACAGTTTGTCTCTGTGATATCATCACGCTAAATTGGCCATCAAAAGAAAACAACTGCCACAGAGAAACAAAATACATATAACTGATAGACTTCAAGGAAGAAAAACTAGCACATTAATAATTATTTATTTAATTATGTAACTGACTATATGCCATACTGAATAGACAAATATATTTGTACACACCATTTGCACTTTTATGTGAAGTACAGTATATCAGAAATCAATCACTATATCATAGGTGAGTGAGTAGATCATCGGTCAATCAGCAGATCATCAATCAATCAGCAGATCATCAGTCAATCAGTAGATCATATGTCAGTCAGAACTTCATATGTCAGTCAATAGATCATAAGTCAGTAAGTAGGTCAGAAATCAATCAGTACATCAGCAGTAAATCAGGAGATCAGAAAAAAAAAAGTCAGTACATCAGAAATCAATCAGTACATCATAAATAAATCAGTACAAACACACATCACACAAAGACGCAGGCACACACACAAACACAGACACAAACACACAATACAATATTGAATGCTCCACACATTAAATGGCAACGTACATTAACAACAGGAACTGCCTGCTGTGGTGTAGCAGCTAGATGCTTGCCTGCAAATTCCTAGGTTCTGGGTTCAAATCCTGATGGAGCCAGACTTGAAAAAAAAATTTTTAATGACCTTGGCGTCCAGGTTTACCCAGACTTAAACTAGTACCAGTTAAAGTCCTGGGCAGTAAAGGCGGCCAGTGTGATGTTGACTATATCTCCCACTGAGTGTTGACTGGTCTAAAAAATATAGGTCTAGCCCTATATACCTAATATGGCTGAAGGCGTGGAAAAAGGTCCTTTACCTTACTTTGACATTACATTAACAAAATTATTGTAAAAGTAAGGTAAAGGACCCTTCACAGATAGGTTAGTTGCGTATCCTTTACAGGACGTTGCAGAACCAACCCCAACAGCCCCTGGCTGTTGTGTGGTTTTTCTAGGCAAATTTACGTCCAGTAGTTTGCCATTGCTTTCTGGACGGTCGGCTTTCTTGATACCACTGTCGAAACCATCGCAAGGCGCATGGCCCGCAGCTGGGATCGAACCTGGCATCCCAGGATTACGAAGCGTTCGCATCGACTTAGCCACAGAGCCAATCCTTCACAGATACATTACAGATTAATAATTTATATTCACAGTTTTTCTGCCTTTTGTCTTCTTCTGCAGAGCCTAACCTCCCTCCAAGCTGTCTCTTTCTGCTGCAACTTTTTTAAATGTCCTCCGCGTATTATTTGTGTCTTTAATTACCTTCCCTGTTATTTTTTTTATGTCTCCCTTTATTTCAGTTTTCTGTGGGCTCAATAAGAAAGACTTTCTAGTCAATCTATCAATAAGTTTTTCTTATTGTATCCTGTCCAATGCCAGTGGGTCTTCCTGACCTCTTTAGAGTTCATTCAGTGAGCTCCATTGGTGATTCTGTAATACCATTTTAGTTCTATGATTCTCACTTGTTTCTACTTTCAATGTTTTTTCTATGGAAGCTGTTTTTACAAGATATACCAAGAAGCTTTAGCCCTTTAACCCTATTTTTAAAAAAAGTTATTAAGGTCAATATAAACACATCAGTGGAATTACCAGACAGATTATTCAGTGAAGTCTGGGAGGCTGAAAAATACCAGCAGACTGAAAAGAAAGATATCTTGTGAAACTGCTAAAAAAAAAAGTGATCTGCAAGAGTTTGAAAACCATACAGGAATTATGTTGCTGTCAGTTCCTGGAAAAAAGTTAACAAGGATTATTTTGGAAAGACTAAAAGATGCTTTGATAAAAAGCTATGATTTAAACAGACTGGTTTTCAGCCAAACAGATCCTGTACTGACCAGTTAACCACGTTACGTACAATAACAGAGCAAAGCATTGAGCTGAATTCATCACTTTACACTTGACAGCACTGATAGGGAATGTCTCAGGAAATTGATGGGGCACTATGGGATTCCACATAAAATTAATAACTAACTTAGTAAAAGCAACATGCAAAGACACAAAATGCTGAGTTTTTCATGAAGGAAGGCTAATGGATACATTCAAAATAAGAACAGGTGTGTGTCACTCACGTCTTTTGTCGCCATTCATGGAATTAGATGCAAGATAAATTAAATATACTTGATGCAAAATCACAAAATCTAGGTCTTGAAATTGATAAGGAAAAATAAAGATAATGAGAATAGACCAGGCAAACAGTCATGTGGTTTCTCCTACTAGTATCCCACTCCAAGATGTGGAGTCATACACCTATTTGGGCAGTAATGTTGATAAACATAGGGGGACTGACAGAGATTTTAAAATATAAAGGCAAAAGGCAAGAAAAGCTTTCATAAAACTAGGAAATGTGTGGAGGTCAAAAGATATCAAAACTAAATCTAAACTTAAAATGTTTAATTCTAATGTCAAATCAGTACTACTGTATGGAGCAGAAACAGGGAGAACAACTAATGCAATCTCTAATACACTACTAACATTCATTAACTGGTGCCTGCACAGAATTGAGGAAATAAAATAGTATGATAGAATCACTAATGTTGAGCTTTGGGAGAGAACTAAACAAGTTCCAGTGAACCAAGACGTGAAAGAGAGGATGCTGGCATTGGAAAGGACATGTGCTGAGAAAACATGAGAACAGTATAACTAGAATGTCTCTACAAATGGAACCCACAGGCGCAAAGAAATAAGGGCAGACCAAAAAACACATGGAGAAGGGAGTTAGAGAGTAAAGTTAAAAAAGATGGGGATGGGGAGGATATGGGGTAAGCTGCATGCAATAGCCAAGGATAGAACAACTTGGCGTGAGTTGGTTGTCCCTAAGCTCCATTGGAAGTTAGAAACCAGAAGAAGAAAAAGCTGATTTTACAAGATATACCAAGGAGCTATAACCCTCTTGTCACAAAAAATAGCAGATTTTACTAATGTAAAATAAATTTTTTTCGGAAAAGATGAATTGTATGGAAAGTTCATGTAATTTTAGGCCACACTAAGCTAACACTCTGAAATTAAATAGTGAAGGACTAATGATTTTATATATGTGTGCCTGTGTGTACAGGCATATGTGAACAGATTTGCATATTTGAACTATTCGGTGATAAAAACCTGGCTTAAATAAAATTTTAAAAAGAAATACTGTCTCACCAATGTATGGACACAGACAAGATTAAAAGTGGACATATACCAGATTAAAAGTGGACGTATACAAGACCAAACTGGACATATAGAAGACTAAACTGGACATATACAAGACTAAACTGGACATATACAAGATTAAAATGGACATATACAAGACTAAATTGGACATATACAAGATTAAACTGGACATATACAAGACTGAAATGGACATATACAAAACTAAACTGGACATACACAAGAATATATAAATGCACTAAAGAGATTCTGTATAGAACTGCCTGTGACACTTGAAACAACATGCTAAGATATAAGTAAACAAAAACAAAAAACAGATTTAAATACATCAATTACATGAAACGTCTAAAATTATAACAAAATAAAAAACAACTAAACATATGTAGGTACATTTCCCACAGTCAGCATATGTATAATTTTGATTTAAGAAAGCA